ATGGTATAGTGGTCGACCTTCACTGCTACAGTAATCCAATGCTTCAGCAATATATAGAGCCACTCTTAAACGCATTGCCCATTCAAGGGTTTGATTCTCCCCTGCAGAGAAGAAAGGAGCAAGTGCAGTTCACAGAAACCATGAGATGAAGGAATATATAAATTGCATCAGATTAAATAGGGACGAAACTGCATGCTAAAACAAGTACTTAACCAGGAGGTATATCACGAAACTTGTGTATCAAAAAATAACCACACATGAGACCATACATATATAAATCTCTTCAACACCCTTCTCGCATTTCCATGCTTAAAAATGGAAATGTCGTGCTCGTAGATAAAGCCCAGCAAACGTCTCAATTTTCCAAGTAACGTCTTTCATAACAAAAATTTAAGTTTTTAGTGCCCCAAACAACCACCTGCCTCTCTAATGCGCAAACGGAGATGATAACTATTATCTACTAAGAAACAAATTAGTCGATAAATCAAAAAACAAGGTTAATATCTCCCAACGCTTATCAGAGCAATGCAGTTAATGTGAACTTAAGCTTTTCTCTAACTATGAGCAATCAAATTATCTTGATTTTTTCTCTTCATTTCTACAGAAAAGCTGCAAGATTGAAGCTAAAAAACAGAAGTAACAGTAAAAGATAAAAGCATACAGTGAAACAGATGTTTAGCAAGTGTATCATTTGGCATGTACTCAGCTACAAGCAGCCTTTCATCCCCATCAGAACAGTAGCCAATCAAATTAGCCAGCCTTTTATGCCTCAATTTCCCAACACCTGATGCTTCATCCTATAGTTACAACAAACAAAAAAATCAAATAAATTCACATTAAACCAACAACAACAATTATGCCTCAATCTTAAACTAGTAGAGGTCGGCCATATCCATTCCGCTCTATTTGGTTCCATTTCAAATAGACATTAAACCCTAACTTTAGAAAATGAATAAGCAAATGACGACTCCAAAAACAAACAAAAAAAAATATATTGAAATAAAGTCCAATACCGCAAACTGTTTAGGATCAGGCCAAGCCGTTTTAGTAAATTTCTTAACAGCGATCCAACGCCGATTCTGCAAACGGCCCTTGTAAACCATATTAGGGGCCTTTTCGCCACTTTCAGAAACTATGAACTCTGAGCTGAAGTTATTCGTAGCTGCTTTGAGCTCAGAAAGTGAGAACTCCGAGAAAACCGGTACACCACCGTCACCCACGGCGGCGCCGGTCCCGTTGGAGGCGCGTGGGTGGCTCACTCCTCCATGGCGCTGATCCTTCTCTGAGCTTAGCTCTTGCTGGATTGAAGATTGACAACAACCCATTGATAACTCGTTCGGGTTGACTCAGTAACAACTCACTCACGAACTCCCGTCAATTAATAAACTCCATAACCAAATAACAAAATACTAGTGCTATGCTACCAATCTTATTACTCAAAAAAAACCCAAAAAAAAAAAGAATACAGCTTTATATGAATAAATTAATCAGATAATAGCTTGGCTTTTTGTTTTTTATTTTTAATATACAGCTAGGAAAAAGGGGGTTTGAGGCTTTGAGCTATGGAAAGGATATGAAATAGAAGTAAGCAAAGTGAAAGTGAAAACACAAAGCTGTGATTTTTCATTGACCCATTTGTCTTTCTCTTACACCTTTTCTGTTCTGACACCGCTTTCTGTGTTTACTTTGTACCTTGTTTTGTCCTGAAAACAATTCATGAGGGTATTTTGGTCCATTTACGTACTGTGTGAGATTGTAAAAATCCCGCGGTAAAGAATCTTAAAATAGTCTATGTGCACTATTATCAT